AATTACCTGCTCCATTATCTTCCCTGGGACAGACGTTAAACTGACCGGTCTATAATTTCCTGGGTTGTTCTTATTCCCCTTTTTATAGATGGGCACAATATTTGCCCTTTTCCAGTCTTCTGGAATCTCCCCTGTCTGCCATGATTTTTCAAAGATCAGAGCAGCCCAGGCGCGCCTGGGCTGCCTCGCTGCCCGACCCCCCTCCCCCCCGGGCTTTGCTCCGTGTCTTCCTGGTCTGCAGACCAGGGAGACGCGGAGAAAGCCCCGGAGTACATGGGCGGCAGGACCGCGAGGTCCCGCAGTCCGTGTCCTCCGGGGGAGCCCCGTTCGTAACTGCGGATCCGACATAAGTCGGATCCGCGTAAGTCAGGGACTGCCTGTACTCACTTTGTGCAGTAATGATGGTTCTTTGAGCAATAGATAAGTTGTGAACAAATCTATTATTGGCACCTCCTATTGATAGAATATGCTATGGAGTACTGCTGGATTCATTTCCCACTCATGGTGGTGTGAGAATGTGTGACTAAGACTGTCTGCCGTTGTGTTCTGCACCACCATAGGTAGGCTGCTAATATTCAAACTCTATACTGAATGCACCAGTTCTATAGCTTTAGTGCTACTGTACAGAGGAAGGATGATCTGGAGCCCACTTGACACGTTACATAGTACATGCACACTATGTCACGAGCAAAAGCATTGCCAACTGCTCTGAGTTTGAGGAGGCTCATGTGGAGAGCCCTCTCCTGGGGCAAACCACTTGTCTTGAGTCATGAGGTTGTAGAGATATGCTTCCCAACCTGAGGGATGCATCCAAAGTGAGAAGTAATGTCAGGGGTGTGAGAACATGACCCCTTTGCAAATATTTGCTGGGGCTTTCCACCAATCCAGGGGAGTGTTGGATCCTAAAGGGTATGAAGAGAGATTTGTCTAACCTATCTTTGTTTGGACTATAAACCAATCTGAACCATGTCTGTAGACACTATGTATAATCTGGCATGAGCTATTGCAAACGTGCCAGCCAGCATGTACCTCAGCTCCTGAGGCAATGCCTGGCTGATGTCCATGGGCTGGCTTGAACTGCCTTTGTGAGCATGAACAGATTGTGAAATTTGTGATGTGGGAGGAGTGTTCTCGCTTGCAAGGAATTGAGATCGTCCCCTATAAACTCTAAATACTGTACCAGAGTTAAAGTTGTCTTTTGGATATTGATTTGTAGCTCTAGTTTAGTGAGCATTTCCATAGACCCATTGCCGGTCCCATAGAGCATCATCGAAGGAGCGGGCCATACGAAGACAGTTGTCCAATATGGATAAATCATGATCTCCAGTATGAATAGGTGAGCTTACTAGAGAGAGAATGACTTTGGAAAATACTCTGTAAGCCAATGAAAGGCTGAAATGAAGTATTCTGTACTAGTAATGGCCCTCACCTGGGGTAAACTGGAGGAATCAGCAGTGGGAAAGTAGAATCAACATTAAAATAGGCATCCTGGAAGTTAAAGACAGAGAAACAATGTTCCTGTTCCAGAGATGGAATAATTGCTGCTAGTGTGACCATCTTGAATTTGAGCCTTCACAAATGTGTTCAGTGCTCTGAGATCCACTATGAGTCTCCAGCCATCCTGTTTCTTGGGGATCAGGAAATATTAACACGTTTTAAGATTAGAAACAATCAACTTGTGCATTGTTTATTTGTATTGCAGCGGCATCTATGAGCTCCTTGACCATCATGAATTACAATACAATTTCACTGTGTGAGGTATATATGAGACAGAAGAGCTTATAATCTTAACACTGTTGCCTTCCTTCTTCCTTACCCTTTCCTTCTACTGTTTGTTACAGTCACTTGTTGCCTTGTGTCTTAAGCTATGTTGGTAGACTTTAGGGGGCAGGTTTCCTTCCAGCTACCTAGCTACTGCCTCTTGAGGGCATGCATTTACTATGGCAATAGGAAAAATCCGCATTTTTGCTATAGTTAGCATTGATATCAGAGTGCCATAATTGAAGCCACCCAGAATAGCTATTTCATTGCAGACGTATCCTGACACACACACTTGGAAAAACAAACCAAGCTAGCTCAACTGTCAGAGGGATTTAAGTAAGCCACAGAAGCCATCACATTAAGAATATCCAAAAAAGTTATTTTACAGAGTTCTAAGCTTCCAAAAGAAAACTTTAGGGCACCCTTGTATGCAGCCATCTTCTCAAATTTATCCATTCCAAAACCACACTCATCTCTCTCTCTCTCTTCCACCTCCATTATCTCCACTGGCTACTATTATCTTTTCTGTCTCCCAGGCCTGCAACCACAGTGTAATTTGAATTATAAATCACTTTTACCCCATCCCACTCCATATTAGAGATCTAAAATCCCATTTAATTGGCTAACTGGTTAAACATATTATTTAACCAATTGAAGGAGGAGAAAGCTGAGGACCCCAGCCCAGATGTATGGACTCCCTGCTCAGGACTGAGCTGGAGCTGCCCCCCAGCTCCCACCACTGTAGGCACCACCATGGCCCAGTTAGAGCAGCCCCTCCTTGTGGGGGGTACCCAGCCCATCACAGACAAGCGGGGAGCTGCACCAGCCCCCACCAATTAACATTAACCTGTGAGCCTCAGCAATTAAACCTTCACATCCCTATCCCATATTCAGTCTTTATTACTTCTTCCACATTAACTATCAAAATCTACTCTTTCCTTACTATTCTCACTACCAATTTTTTTCATGGACATGTCATACATAATACTTTAAATACTCACAACTCATCTGTCCAAAAGAACATTTTGGTAAACAACTTCTTCTGACCTTCAACTCCTCCTACCATTCTTCAGCTAGCTTCCTGTCTCTTGCTCTATATTCTGTTCAGAAGCTGTCCTCTCTCTATGTCCCTACCTAGTGAAATTTGACATCTTTAATCAAGGTCTGTAGAAAGACCTGACCTGGATGGGCTGCTACATTCAATACGCTAATGAAATCAAAAGTTAAGTATCAGGCACTTACAGCCCACTATTAGCCTCATTTAGCATGGACACGCTAACTGACAAGATTCTCTCCCCTCCCACCACTTCCCCTCACCATCCCCCCCAACCTTTTTGGTATTTATTTGTAATTCTGGACCCCTTGCTCCATTCACCTGAAGAAGTGGGTTGTGCCCACAAAAGCTCATGATACCATCTACATTTTTTGTTAGTCTCTAAGGTGCTGCAGGACCATTAGTTTTTTTTTTTTTTTTCCAGTTACAGACTAGCACAGCTTACCCATCAGAGACTTTAGAACACAGTTACTCATTACCTCAAAAAGGCAGGGAGGAATTGCTGGTGCCTTAAAAAGATGGTCAAGTGATGGGACAAAGTGAAATCAATTGTATTTGACACCTTAACTGAAGCTGCATAAACTTGGTAAGAGAAAAGAGCTGTCAAAAAAATCCAGGCAAAGGGCACTTCAAAGTCAATCACATGACTATACAACTTCTATAACAACAAAACACCAATATTACTTGGGCCTTTAGGTGCTATCACAATATAGTTGCTAAACCACATTGGGGAATAGTGATTACTTGCCTTTTGTTAGGGAAACACCACAAAGTGTTATAATAGGCAGTTCCCACAAGTGAAAAAAAAAAATACTACAGGTTTTGAAACTCCCTTCCCCACCAAAAAACGAAAGAAATATTCTCCATATAGTAGAGGCATATTTGTCAATCCATTTTTTTTATGTATACTTAGGAATTTTCCCAGCAAGCCGTTCGTTACCTGCCTTACTTTGCTATGTCTTGTCACAATATGCCTTTTTATTAAGGCAACCTAAAAATTGTGGAGATACAAGACAGAGCTATGACAACTTTCACAATCCAAAGACTCTGGAAACTAGCAGCCATACTTCCTCAACTGTTTGAGACCCTATGTTTTTCCCCATAGAGTCACAGCTTAATTACTGATCATCTATTCAGCACATTTTAACAATTGAAATGTTTTCAACAACAGTTCAATGGCAAGTAGTTTAATATACACAAATGTCATTTACTTTTTAAAATGAACACAGTACTTGAAAAAGGTACTGGATTGACAGTTCACTGACAACAAACTTCTCTATGTAGCCACACAATGCACAGTATTTGTTGGCAGCTGTGCAAGGCCTTTAATATTAGCTTGACAACCTGCTTTCATAACATTGTGAAAGGACTACACTAGTGGTAGGCAGGCTGGGCTGTGTTCTGTGTGTGTGGCCCATGAGATACTTTGTTTACTGTTGCCGACCCAAAGGTAGCCAGATTCCACTGGTTTCCATCAGCATAGTTTTTTCCGTACTGGTATTACCAAAGTGACATGCACAAAGCAAGAGCACGTGACGTGAGGGGCATGCTTATTGCACACAACATTGACTGGAAGAGCAAAATGCTCCCTCTGCATCCTATCGAAGTGCTGCTATGGTTCAATCAGCACATCTTGCATTCTAGGTATGCAAACGCAGTTATCAAAACTATCCTTTCCTGGGAGACTCTCTTGGTTATAACAATCTTGCAGCCCACTGAGATTAAGGCAGGCCACTCATGCAGCCCACTCACTAGCCTAGGTTGCTCCACCTAAAAGTGCAGGCTCAGTGTTTGTGGCCATTCAATCTCTAACTCCTCTGCCAAAACTGCCCACAAGGATGTTAATTGTGACATTTTTAATAACCAGGAAACTTAGCTATTGGGATATGAACTAAGACCACTAATTCATCTGACACAGCCTGCCAAATGGTAATTTCTGGTCACCGACAAATAAGATTAGCTTTAAAATGGTGAGAGGTGAAAAGCTCATTGTATGCATGGTTACTCATCTCCTGAACCATCTAGCAGTTATAAAGTATTTGTAACTGAATAACGTGTTTTGATTTTTAAGTAGTCAGACTGATTACATGAAAGCTGGTATGGAAATGTACAAATATGTAAAGTGCAACTCTTCCAGAAAGGCAGAAAAATAATATAAAACCAAGTAAGTACATTTAATGCTTACCCATCTCTTCCTTTACTGACAATTTTAACTTCAAAATAGTATATTCCACAGGCTGCAGGTATAGGATGCGTGGCTCGAACTGAAGCAGCATCCTTTGGAGTTTTGCCATGACCTGCAAAACAAAGTCATATTAAAATACATTTGGGATTTTAAATTAGTAAACTCGAGAAGTGCAAGCTTAACAGTGTATAAGTCAGTCACTCAAAGTAGGGCTTACTCTGAGTAGTCAATTTACTTAAACTTATAAAAAAATTCTAATCTTACTCTCATTATGTGTGTATGGAACGTCGTATGAAGCTGTGTATGGATGAATGTGTTCTAGAACAGCAGTTCTTAATTGCTGGTCCACAGACTGGTGGCGGGCCGCGAACTGCTGTCTGCTGGACTGCGACATGCTACCTGAGCACAAGGGCAGGTCTCGCACTAGGATCCAGTAGCAGCTGGCAGGGGCTCTGGGAACTTGTTGCTTACCAGAAACCCAGCAGCAGTAGCAGGAGCTAGGGGACGCAATTGATGGCTCAGGCCCAGCAGCAGGGACCAACTTGCACCCTCTGCTTGAGGACTCGGGGGCCAAGCTCCAGGCTGGATCCCCAAGCCCCAGGGTGAGGTGGGGTGGCGCTGGTGGGCTTATAGCCTGAGCTGCAGCCAGGAGGGGGAATCTCCTGCAGGACCGGTCCCACTGCTCCCCAGGAATCTCTTCCCATGCAGTGCCCTCAGCCCGCCCAGCCAGCCCCTGCCCCTGCCCCTGCCCCAGGACAGGCAGTGCTTCGGGGGCAGGTGAGACCCCCTCCTTCCCTGGGACCAGGGCTCCAGGCCTCCTGGAGTAAAGGGGAGAGGGTTTGGCCCCAGGCTGCTCACAGCAGAGAAGGCAAAGGGGAGCTGCCATCAGCTCCCAATGTGTGCGGACTGGGAGGGGAGCTAGCTGTAGCAGGGAGGGAATCAGAAGGGGGCTGAAGAGGGGACAGGGCACGTAAGGGGGGGGGCACGCGCTGAAGAGTAATAGGGTGTGGCAGGGACAGAAGGGGGATGCAGCAGGTGCTGAAGGGAGGTTGGTGGATTAAGGGGAGACTTATGGGCTGGATGGGAGTAGGGGTGTAATAGAGGGAAACTTTTGGGGGGTGGGGCACGAAAGTGAAGGCAAGGGGAGGCAGGGAGGGAGTCTCTGGGAACAAGAGCAGCCTGTCTGGGAAAGGGCGACACATAGGGTCAGGGTTGTACAGGAGATGGGGGGGAAGATACAATGGCAGCTTCCACATGCCATCGGGCATGGGGGCGAGAGGGGAGCAGAGATGAATAGTGGTAGCACTTGCGGGCACTAGCTGCTAGGACCCTGAAAAAATTTCTAAAGTTGCTAAATAGGGTGCCCCTCCCTCTGCAGGCACAACTTGCACCTTGGGGAGGGGACTGCAAGAGGGGAATTCTTTCTGTGATTTTTTTTTAGTGAAGATAACTGCAAATTCTGATCTGTTAGGGACTAGTAGCATTTTATTTGCATGTTCATTAATTTTGCTGGTCGCCAAAAGTTTGTGAATGGGTTTGCTGGTCCGCAGTATAAAAAAGGTTGGGAACCACTATTCTAGAATATGCTCTTCACTGATCACTTGTATAAACATGTCAACAAGTGTAGTCAGTGTTTGGTGCTTAAAAACAGTTTTGCAGTTATTTGAACACAAATAATTATAAAACAAGATTTATTCTGTTTCCAGTAAAATGCACACACATGATGTGACAACAGTCCACAAAATAAATCTTGAAAACATTGCATGTATGGCTTCTCAGTTGCCCAGCATTTACTGATTTTTATAAACTAAAATATGATACAATTGAATTTAATCTACTTCTCAGTATACTTAGATTTCTTTAAACAATTTCAAGATATTTAGTTTCTGCTGTCTACAATACAACTGTCAGTTACTTTATAACATGCACAGTAGGGGTCTTATTGCCATGTTCTGAATTTTTTTTATTTCAACAGTGCATTAACCACAATGTCTACACATAAGTACAAATAAGTAAACAGAAGCCCTGCCCTTTTAGTTACAAAACAGCAAATGCTCTATCAATCTGCTACTGCAAAAAGTCCTAGTCTCTGCGTTTTTGGCCTTGGCCAACTGTTTTCATTGTCTAGTTGGTTGCGTACTATCATTAGAATGTGTAATTAATCTCTCTTTTTTCTAAAATTGTTTTAATCATTAAACATTATTTTTAACTGAAGTTCATATCATAACCTTTTATTTACTTTCTGCAGTCAAGTCATGTTCCTGCCAGGTACTCAAATTACAAGACTGAATGCACTTATTGTATTTCTCAAGACTGGTAATTTATAATTACCCTAGGCTGATTCAATCACAGTAATAAGCAAATCCATGGCTCTAGAAGTTCCAGAATAAATTTTTGGTTTGTTCTTAAGTGCCAGTAGTTCACTGTTTAGATACTATAAATTACATTGCCAATCTTGACTATACAGAAGTCCTTGGGCCTATTAAGTAGCCAAACCTTAAAGGGGCCTCTCTGAATCTTGTGAGTAGATAGTCCTATTTAAAGGAGATACCATTAAATTAGAAACACTTGTGTTGAAAAAAAAATCTAACCTGTTTGACAATAAAACCTAAAATAACTAACACTGACTAGAGAAAAAGTATTTTCTCAAGTATGCTTTGCAAACGTGACAGTGAACTCTGTAGTTACTTTAACTCATGTGTGGGCAAAAGAGCCTCCCCAGGCCAGATCCGGCCCGCCAAGCAGGTTGATCTCACCCATGGAGGCCCTGCCACTCTTCTGCCCCCAGACTGATTAGGGCCTAGGAGCAGGGGGGAAGAGCATGAAGTTTCCTCCACCCTACAAGGAGCGCCTAAGCACCAAGCACTCCTGACAGGGCAGGAGGAGACTTTGCGCACTCCCCCATCCCCAAGCCCTGATTTGCCGGAGGGCAGAAGCGGGAGAGTGCAAAGTCTCCTCCCACCTCCAGGGGCATGGGCGCCTAGGAGGAGCCTCTGTGGTAGAGGGGTAAAGGGCAAAGACTTCATGTGCACCCCCACCCCCACAACAATCATGGTCTGTGGGTGAGGAAACAGTGAAGAATGACCCCACCCACTTCTGGTGCAGCCTGGGGCCACTTCAAAAATTTCTGAAGTGGCCCCCAGTAAAAAATTATTGCCCACCAGTGCTTTAGCTGCATCCACTGAATGTTCAAGTCAGTTTCTGCTATTTATGTGGCCTTTCATATAACAGAAAAAAAGCAGCATAAAACCTAATAAAATGCAATTGTAAAGCCACTAATACTGCCAGGAGTACTCTGGATAAAGTTAACACTCCTACGTACTTCGAAGTCATTTTAAAAATGGACTACATTTCAAGTATCTGAACCTTTAAACATTCCCTTATTAATCCTATGTAAGTGCTGAATTTTAAATACACTATTTTTTGTCTTAGATTACCTGTGATTATCACTATTGACAGTGAATTCCACTGCACATTTATCTGAGTATCTCAAACATTACAAAGAGCACCTATAAATTATCGCAACACTTTTCTCCACATTATCTAGATTTTAGAATTGTATTTACACGAGCTGTATTTAAAGAGAGTAAGGTCATGTATTCCTTTGTCCAGATGGGTACTCCTATTGACTTACATAGGACTACTCTTCTCAGTGGCTGTGAACATAAGAATGGCCATATTGGGTCAGACCAAAGATCCATCTTGCCCAGTATCCTGTCTGCCGACAGTGGCCAATACCAGATGCCCCAGAGCCATGATCCTCCGATACCTGCTGAGGTGCAGGTAAACATAGTGACAGTGGCCTGCCAAAGACTAACTCTGTGGGCTGCATTTTTTTTTTTATTGCCCACCCCTGTTCCAATCCATTTGTAGATAGATTGTGGTACTCCAAACAGTCTTATTTTTAAGGAGATTCCTTTTTTGTACTTATGATGTGACAGACATAAGAAACCTAGGTGAAATATTACTGATGTTCATAGGGAAAAAATGCATCTCTCTCAACTTAGAATTTCAAATAATAAACAAAGTTACAGAATTAAGAAACAGAATTTCTAAAATATATAACTAAGTGACTGACTCAGAAGTTCTTGGAAGAAATTATGCTGGTTCTGATAGGGGATGCGAGGACAGCTAAATGCTCCTCCCCACACACAAAGCCTGGTCATTTTTATGAGGTGAGGTCATCTGAAGAAGTGGGTTGTGCCCATGAAAGCTCATACCACCATCTACATGTTTGCTACCAGACCATTTGTTGTTTTTTAAATTTATCCTGTACAGACTAACTCGGCTACCCCCTGAAGCATTTTTATGAGAGTAAGGCAGCATTTCTCAAACTGTGGGCCGCGACCCCCAAGGGGGTCGCAAGCAACTTCGGGGGGGGGAGAGGGTCACAGCTGGATTCAGTTTTTCCACTTGAGACCCCTCTCCCCCGGGCCGAGAAGAGCAGCGGGGTGGCAGAAGGCAGCTGCCGGTAAGCCGCGCAGCCTGGCCGGGGCTGCGGGAATCCAGGGGCGCGGCTCAGCTGCAGGAGGAGGAAAGGCAGCGGGAGAGTGAGGCTGGCGCAGGAGCTGATGTGCGAGGGGCCAGCCAGGGCACAGTTGCCGGGCGACCGAACGCTTCCCCAGCTGGGAGAGGGCGGGGTTCCTCAGGCAGTGGGGTGGGGGATTGGGTCAGGACAGAGGATCAGGAGAAAAATAAGGGCACGTGGGAGTCAGAGGAGACACAGGAGTGGAGTGAAGGATGGAGAGGAGAGGAGAGGAGACGAGAGGAGAGGAGAGGAGAGACCAAAGGGATGCGGAGCGGAAAAGAGGCACAGAGGAGAAAGACAAGGGAAGGAGCCTGCAGGGAGGAAGGAGTTGAGGACCGCAAATGCCTTGAAGGAACCCCAGGAGGGCAAGGAGTCTGGTGAGAAGGGGTGAGGAAACGACTCAGGGCAGTGAGGGTGGGGTGGGGTCACACAAATTCATTTAGCATTTTAGGGGGTCGCGGTATCACAAAGTTCGAGAACCCCTGGGGTAAGGAATAATATTGTATAATTTTGGTAATGATCCTTAATTTCTGTTTGCCACAATAAAGGCCTCTTTTCAACATCTAAGTACCATCAGACTGTAG